TACATATATTTAAAATGTGTTTTGATATTAAAATTCTAAAAAGTTAATGAAATATTTTACAATATATTATTATTTTATTTTGAGAAACTTTGTTTAGTTCTTCATCTCCAATGGTGAGATATCCATTGAGTTTCTTACTAATAAAATTGATTAAAAGTAGTATATTATATTGGTTATATACTCATATAGTATCGAACCATTTGAGATGCTCTAAAGCCTAGGTCCTTATATTCTTTAGAGAGGTATGTTTGGTGTGGTATCTTTCACCTGTTCCATTTCAGTCCCACGTTCGTTTTTCGCTGCTGTTGTTGCTAGTTGAACTCGAGTTAGATCCGTCTTCAGGCTTTCCATTCTTCTGGAGGTGTCGGAGTATTTTGGTTTTGATCGAAACTTATGTTTCTTGGCACATTTTCGACATCTTCTAGTTCTTTGGTAAAAATCGCGGGAGTGTTCCGGTTCTGCGTTTCAACATTAGTGGTTTGACCATTTTTCTTCTTATGTCAGTCTCTTTTCTCCTTGTATTAGGTTATAGCTTCCTTTTTAAACCTTCTGTTTTGGAGAATGTGTGTTCCACCAATTTTGTTACCGAAGATATTTTTCACTCACTGACTCTGTGTAATTTCGAAAGTTTGAAATCCAAAATATCTTACGGAAAAGAAAGAAATAGAGAAACTCACGTCACATGGTTTGATTTTTCTTAGGCATAATCCATCCGTTTTTGATCTACTTGTCACATGGATATAAAGAAGATCAGAAACTCACAGATCACATATCTGTAGAGCTACCATCATTGGTTCTTTCATATTGGTTTTTCCCCCCTGATTATACGCTCATTATTTCATCATATTGTTTATCTGATTTTACGTTAATAATGAGTCGCTCTATAGAAGGTATTTGGTTTGCCTTTCCTAACTGTCCTCTAGTGCGTTTTTAATTTAGATTTGCTTGTGTCTATGTCCAACTAATTTGGTATAGTACAAGATTGGGACTGATGATGGGGTCAGTGGATAACGGCAATGTATTTTGTAACGCACCATAAGTTTTATAAGAAAACAGAAGACTGGCTAACGATCTATATCAGTGTTCATCTGTTGTTTCGTATTAAGTTGGTGCGACACCAAAAACAAATTGTTGCAAGAAACCACTGTTACTCTTTTCTGTGTTTGATAGGTTTGGAGCAAATCATCTGCTAGGGTTCTCGGAGGCAGCCTCCCGGGAGCAGAAACCGAAAGCGAGCAGAGTTCTGAATCAAAAAGGCAGGAAGATGTACGGCTGATGCAGAAGGCGGGATAGGTCCGATTTTGCTAATCAGCTCTTTGAAGCTGTATTCTTCCGGAAGCATGTCAAATAGGTCATATCCTTTACATATATGGCTTTGTATCCTCGAATAATCCAAAAACTCCTTGCGCCTGACTCTATCCGCATGGCTATAACCCTTCATCTTGAAAACGAATTCATTGAGACGTCTGAAACAGAAGCTGCAATGCCAACCAGCATCAGATAATATCAAGTCTGTTTGCCGGGAGTGCCGGTATTGAGTCCACTTCCTGCTGTAAATATGGACAGATGCTCTCCAGCTGCTGTAATCAACCGGGAACTCAAAGGAATACATGTAATCCCTCATCTCGAGATGCATTTTATCCGGTATCCCATCGCACCACTGTAGAAATCTTACAGTGTGAGGGCTCGGAATCTCATCAGCATCCGACATAATCACCACCTCACCGTCCAATATCCCGGCTTCTTTGAGCAACCGGTTCATTGCAACCCGCTGTTGTGCCTCCAACACAAACGGATCCTCGTATTGTTGGCCCTGAGAACGCTTTTTCCCAGGAAAAACTCCGTGTACAATTTTACCCTCTGCGAAAGCGAATCTCTCCTTGTTGGAGTCGAAGAAGAGAGGCTTTGGGATCCCTGTGAAGGTAGTGTTTGATTCCAGGATCACAAACTTTGAGACATAGGGCGCGAGTTCCTGCCACCTGAGTTCGAGGATGTCGAGCTCATTGCTGAAGATAATGGCGTCAAAGACACGCCTTGGTGTAGACCGTAGTGTCCAACCATGGAGCTGACAGAGATTTCCCATGGAGACATTCTCGGCATAGTAATGCGGTATACGTTTGAAAGGTGGAGGTGGTTTATCCCATAGAGGACGAAAAAGATACGATAAGGTTCGGTAATTTGTGAGGATACCAAACAAACATGTCGAAAAAAGTACCAAAAGAGTGAGAAATAAAAGTTTAGGGGGAGAAGATTTGCGCAAGGATCGGATAGTCATCAATTGGTTTTGAGTCCCAAAAACTCTCACCAACTCATTTCATTCATCTTCTTTCTTTGTGCCTGCACAGAAGAACACAATCGAATTAACAAATCTGACTAAAGTTACACATCATCACCCTCTAAAACTCTATCAATCGCAGCAAAATCTGAAATGATTTATTAATTATTGAAATCTGACTAAACAACAGAAGTTTAAGCAATCAATGGTCGAATTTGTGAAAGAGAAGTCAGAGTTCGCGTAACCCGAGGATGATTCCTTTCTTCATTCAGATTAAACAGAATTGGTAAAGCACAAAGCAAAAGATATCAACAAAAGTTTAAATTCACATCAAACACTAGAGTAGAATCTCAAACCCAACAAAAGTATTTGGTCTGAGCAAAGGGAAGAAGGTACCTTAATTAGATTTCTCGAGCTTCGGATTGAGCAGACCGAAACAAAAATGAGCAGAGAGAGATTAGCTTCAAACTCGATAAAAAAAAACAGAGGTGGGATTAAAGGACAAGAAGCGGTGATCTATTTTTGCTTAAAGAATATTTAGGTGATGGATTTCCCAAATCAAGAAATAAGGAATCAGATGGTGTTTGTTAATTCACACCCCTCAATCATGCTATTAAAGAAACACTTTGGAGGATGAAAACGACAAACACCATAGATATTATCGATATGTAAGTAAAAAAAAAATGGAACAAAGAAAAACGGTTAAGAGAAATTGGGATATATGACTAAGAAAAATTGTAAGGGCATCAATACAATATGAGTATCAATAAATATAAAATTATTAAAATTTGAATAAAAGGAAGAAAAAGAGTATTTTTGGTTGAAATAATGAGGTGTATTGAAATATAAAATTAATAAAATTTGAGTAAAAAGAAGAGATAATGGGTAGTTTTGGAGAGAGTGTATCAATGAGTTGATACTTTTGATATTCAAATGAATGTGTTTGAGTGAATTTTTAATAATTTTATATTTAAAGAAAGTATAAAATTAATAAAAATTGAGTAAAAAGATAAAAGAGAAAGTATAAAGTTGAATAAAAGGAAGAAAGAGTGTATGTTTTAATATTTGTTTATTTAATGATACTCACGTTGTATCATTGGTAATGATGGTCTAACAAGCTATAGTTAGGAACTTTAGATCATGTGGTGTTTCTTAATCCTTAATTAAATTTAAATAAAAGTTGGTTGTATTAGGAGATTTAAAAAGTGGTTATTAAGTGCACGTGTCACCTTTCGATTCGTGGATGATTTTTAATAAACAAATTGGTTAGATCATTGAACATGCTCTTAGGCCTAAGGGTATGTTTTGTAAGTTCATGTATTAGTGATGAAACTGCCATTAGTGACATAATCGATTTTTTTCATCAGACTGTAAAATTAAAATTTTAAAATTATTTTTAACAAAATTTAAATTGGATTGAGACAATGCGGATTATTCAGAAAGATAAATGTAAGGAAAATATTAATTTTTCCAATTATGTATTCTTATAGTTTATCTAATTTTCTAATGAAAGTGTTTTTCTT